TTGATTTTAGAGAGAGAGGAAGGGAGAGAGAGAAACATTGATGAGAGAGAAACATCCATCGGCCACCTCCTGCATGCCCCCCACCAGGGACTGAGCCCACAACCCTGGCATGTGCCTTGGCCAAGAATTGAACTGGTGACCTCTTGGTGCATGGGTCAGTGCTCAACCACTGAGCAACACAGGCCGGGTATCATTGTACTCTTGAAGCACTTTCCCATCTGTAATCCCAGTGGAGCTACACCACAGGGACAAAGGTGGTTGGCCCCATTTTATCAAAGGGGGCAGTTTCATATGGATCATAATTTACAGATGAACTAGAGGCCTGGTGCACAAAATATGTGCACTGGGGGAGGGGGGTCCCTCAGCCCAAACTGCGCCCTCTTGCAGTCCAAGAACCCTCGCTCCTTACTGCCTGCCTGCTCACTGTTCCTTATGGCTCAGCTTGCTGCTTCTTAACACTGCCCTGGAGGTGGCAGAGGCCGCCGCCACTGCTGTTGCGCTCGCCAGCCGTGAGCCGGCTTCTGGCTGAGCATCGCTCCTCCTGTGGGAGCTCACTGACCATCAGGGGCAGCTCCTGCATTGAGCGTCTGCCCCCTGGTGGTCAGTGCACATCATAGCGACCAGTCATTCTGGTCGGTCCTCTGGAGGATTCATACCCGGGGTCGGGCTTTGGACTAGGGCAGCGGTTGCCAACCTTTCGGACCTCACGGACCACCAGTTGGCGACCACTGGACTAGGGCACCTTTGAGGGTCCTTCCCAATCTAATGAACCTGGCACATGGTAGTAAGTATTTAATAAACCACTTGTTAAAAACAGTTGTTTTTATTTTTATCATTCTATGGTTGAGAAGAAGTCAGGAAAAAAACACATTGATGTCCTAAAAACAGCTCACATCATCAATGTATCCTTTTAAATATATGTAATATATATATATATATGTGTATATATATATATACATATAGATATATGTTTTTATTGATTTTAGAGAGAGAGGAAGGGAGAGAGAGAAACATTGATGAGAGAGAAACATCCATCGGCCACCTCCTGCATGCCCCCCACCAGGGACTGAGCCCACAACCCTGGCATGTGCCTTGGCCAAGAATTGAACTGGTGACCTCTTGGTGCATGGGTCAGTGCTCAACCACTGAGCAACACAGGCCGGGTATCATTGTACTCTTGAAGCACTTTCCCATCTGTAATCCCAGTGGAGCTACACCACAGGGACAAAGGTGGTTGGCCCCATTTTATCAAAGGGGGCAGTTTCATATGGATCATAATTTACAGATGAACTAGAGGCCTGGTGCACAAAATATGTGCACTGGGGGAGGGGGGTCCCTCAGCCCAAACTGCGCCCTCC